CTTTAGATAATTAGAAACTAAATAGTAAAAACCCTGCTTGACTCTGACTCATATGACAGACTCCAGGGCAGCCTGCCACACACTCATTCCACTTCGGTCTAGCCTATGGCTCACTAACTTGACACTGGGTTCTCAAGTCTCCTCTGTCTCTTTTTTTATCCTAGAGTCATGGGTGCACTGCAGACAGATAACAGGGAGGCAGAGGAACTTTCTGGGAAAGAGGTCTGGGCAAAGGCCCCCAGAACACTACAGCTGCCCTCATCTGCCAGCCGACAATCAATGCCACTCCTGAATAACAGCAGTCATCCCTCCCCAGAGACCCTCATCTCCTGACACTCTGCATGACCATAAAGCAAAACACATGGTAAGACTTTGTCTGAAGCCTCCTGAGGTTAGTCAAGTCAGAACAATTGTTTTAAACATGGAACTCTCCCGGGAGACAAGAAACAGAACACAGTTGTCAGAAAGAGACCACCTACTATCCCATGCCTACACTCACACATTCTAAGTAGTGGGACAGCAGAGGGGAATTCTGAATAAAGGAAAATTAAGTCCGCCACCATTATGCACTTGTGAGGGATCTGATACCCTCTTCTGGTCTTTAGGGCACCTGGGCACTTACACACACACACACACACACACACACACACACACACACACACACACAGAGGTGGGGAGAGACACAGGCAGGGAGGCAGGCAGACAGACTCTCAAATACCATTTCCTCCTCAATAGTACATACTGGTTTATAGAGACAAACTTGTACTGAATAGCCCATGAAGACCCTGAGGGATCATTACCTACTTAAATGTGTAAGCAGAAAGGGTATTATCACACTGAAATCTGCCTGCCTCATCCTCCTCCAACCAGGCTCAGAAGAAGAATCAGATTGACTATGTCACTTTCCCTCTCCTGCCCACTGACAGCATTGTCAATTTCCATGTTCACACTGCATCAGAAGGAAGAAGCGGAAAAAAAAAAAACCCACACAAAGCTACAGGCAGCATGATCACATTCATACCCAAGCCTACACTAATGAATCTATCAACAGGACAAAGCAAACTTGTAAGAAACAGAGGCTACTACATCCTGTGCACACTCAACAGCTGATCTTTCTATATACAGAGAACTATACCTTGGGCTATGACACCAAAGAACTGTGGCTTCTGTCGCAGAAATGGCTGGGTTAATGGTTTTGCTGACTAAATCTAGACACAGAATGGGAAAAAGCAGCTGGCCAACTACAGTTCTCTAAGGCTTATGATCTATGCACACTGTCCCATCTTCTCTAAGTATGAATATATTTATACTAGAAGTTGTTCTAATATAAGACAAATCTCGTTCAACTTATGAACCCCAGCTTAACAACCACTGGTCTAGCAAATTCTCCTTTAAACTTACAGAAGCTTGTAGAGCATTAACTGAGAGCAAATGGATACATCACATCTATACACCCTTCCATAAACACAAATGGATAACACTCATCTATAAGTCCTTGCGTAAATATAAATGAAACCGTTAAGAATTTAAACTACAAGGCTAGGGATAACAGCTCAATGGTAACAAGGCCTGGATAAATTGCAAGTACTCTTCTCAACACTACAAGCGCCCCAGACAGGTTCGTGTTTAGCTGGTTTCTAATGGTCTGCCTTGGTGTAAAGTTATGCAGCAGACATGTTCTTTCTAACTGTCTCGCCTGTGCCAGCAGATCCAAAGCTGAAGTTCCAGTGAGTTCATTACCTTATACAGTCAGTGGTATCCTGTACTCTTGAGTTATGAGTCTGTGCTCTGCAGGATGCTATTCCTGAGGAAAACTGGATGAGCAGTGCATGAGACTTCTCTACACATTTCGTTATGTTCCTCTCAATCTAAAGTTACTACTATAAACAAAGCACACACATACCCACAACACTACCCACTTGCTGCACTAGTATCAAGTCATTTAAAAAAGGCCTGTAATGTTCTCTATAAACCCTTCCCAAAGTCAACCCAATAAAAGACAGTTTCCTTCAGAAGAGCCCTCCTGCACTCAATTCTTATTTCTGTTGAGGTTCACAGAAAATAGGAAGAGATCTATATGGATATAAAAAGATGCCTCCTTCGCAGACTCCAGTCCCACCTGTAGTGTCATGTCTGGGTATTCGAATAACCAAGCTCACTGGTGAGGTAGGGCCACATCCCCACTCACTGCAGCTAGAGATAGAGCTGGATTCACTCAGGCTGCCAACAAGCGCCATGCCGTGGTCTTCCCACCAAACACTGTTCCTGCCCACTGAGCCTGCTAACCAACAACCAGTCCCTCCTAATAAGACACATGCCCAGCTGTGACTTTCCCAGGAACTAGCTCCTGCACCTCAGGTTCCTGAGATGAAATGGAAAGCAAACAATCTCACTCTCCTCAAAAGAACCCTCTCCAGTGACCCCTCCCCTCTCAGAGTTGACATCTGCTGCAAACCTCTCCTGTCTGCCACCCAGACCCCAGCAACATGAGCCCAGAAGCCTTGAGGCTGGGGCAGGCAAGGGCATGTTTTCTATGCTGCCAGCGGTCCAAGGAATTCTATTCACAATCAACACTTCCTCTGGATCCTTTCTGAGCCCAGCAGAGGTCATTCCGAGAGAAGACCATGTAAGAAAACATCAGTGAGGAGCTAACAGACTCGACGGTTGATGGGCGGTTGGTCTTTAGGGTTACTGTCCACTTTTCACTTCACTGGAATACACAAGCTCCCGTTAACTATTCTTAAAGGAGCACTACAAATGCTCATGTCAGTCACCTGTCTGTTGCCACCTTCTTTTTCAAGCAAGAAAATATCTTTTGTAGCTCAGTGGTACAGCACTTATCTAGCTTGGATATGTGAGGGCCTCATTAATCCCCAGCATAGAAAACAGCAATAAAAATACAAAAGCATGTAGCACACGTGTGCATGTACTTTATACATATGTCTCATAGAGATATGACTGAAAGAGAAATACACAAAAGGGCTACTGTCAGAAGAGGGAAGGACTTGATTTTTCTTTACACTCTCCTGTATGCTTCCCTTTCTTTGTCTGGTGACCATGTACTACACAATTATCGTCAGATTCAGCCTTAGAGAAGGAGGCTGCAGACTTGAAATCCATCTGAGGTGTGAAGTAACATATCAGGAGGCTATAGCAGCTACTCAGGAAATACAGCACAAGCTGAAAGCACTAAGTCCAGAAAGAAACTAAAGTCTGGATTCGTAAATATCCAAAGCTTAAGGCTAATGTTTTGTTTTATTTTATTTTATTTTATTTTATTTTATTTTATTTTATTTTATTTTATTTTATTTTATTTATTTTTGGACAAGGTCTCTTTATATGGCCCTTACTTTCCTGGAGTTTGCTACATACACTGCCCTTAAACTCATAGATCTGCCTGCCTCTCCTTCCTGCAAAGGATACACCCATGTCTGGACCAAAGTCTACATTTAAAGTGGTCCCCACAAGTCTAACGATAGACCAGTCAATAAGTATGTGGCTCTGGCAACACCATATCCTAATAGAGATGAAAGTCACACAGGAAGAAATGGGGACTTCAGAAAGGTACCACTGCCTGGCCCAGCCTCAGAGCATTTCATAAATATCTACTATATTTAAATTACAGGATGTTCAAATGTACTATTCTTTCATTGCTCTTTAACAATGTTTAGATGAGCCAGGCAGGGGTGTCGCACACCTTTAATCCCAGCACTCAGGAGGCAGAGGCAGGCAAATCTCTGAGTTTGCCAGCCTGGTCTACAGAGTGAGATCCAGTACAACCAGGGCTATGCAGAGTAACCCTGTCTTGAAAAACAAACAAATATGTTGAAATGTTTAGCTGAAAAGCACCTGCTTTTCCACTGAGCTGTCCTGTCCATAGCATAATTTGTTACACGAATCTTTTGGATAATCAACCAAATACGTTTCCTCTTAAAAGTCTCTACCTACCCTCTTTGACAGACAAGAGGGCAGTCACCCCACAGAATGCCACATCCTCGTGTGTCTGTCAGATTCAACAGCTGTCACCTGTGGTCTACAATATTATCTAATTCTGAATAACAGATATGAGCACTGGAGAGGCCAGTGCTATGTGAGCGCGGCGGGACATCTCCCCAGATTACGATGGCGCACTGAACTCATCACAGCTGTCACCTTCCTCAGTAACCCAGATTTAGGGAAATGATGATCTGATGTGAAGACACTGCAAACTCCTAAGGCTGCTGCTTAGCTCCTTCTAAAACTCTGTGCTGCATCTGATTCAACACTGAATAAAAGGCAGCGAGTGCAGGAGATGAAACAAATTAAAATATCTTAAAATGAGGTCGCTCTAGCTCCACATAACCTATTAAGGGTGCACTCACAGAGGCACACCTGAATGTGTGTTGTGTGTGCACGTGTGGGCTCACATTTTGTTTGCCTCAGTTCTCTTTTCACATCTAAAGCTGCACAGTAAATCCTCATTGACTATTTAAAGAACTATTTTTTGCCACTAAATTTTGCCAACAATCTACTCGACGTTCTAACAGATGTTCCTGCCTTCCAGCCTCTGGGAACTTGGCTCGACATTTTCTTTTCTCAATATAAAAAATAAAAGAAATGGTACAGATGTGGTCTAATACCCTACGGGAGCTTTCCCTTCAGTCACTGCTCATGTGACCTCCATGATCCCTCCCCCAACTTTTTCTTTTCTATTAGTAAAGATGTTTTCAATTACAGCCCATTTTGTGGCCAAAGATGACATCACTCAGATGGAGGGGAGTTGTTGTGGGCTGATTGTTTAAATAAAAAAACATTAAGCAAGTGAGACACTTAGTTACTTGGGACCATCTGCAACAACTCACGTCACCTGGCCTGCAGCTGGCTCTTGAGCCCCAACACCACAGCAAAGCCATTGCTTAGGTGATCACTATCTCCAAATGTGCCAAGGAGGGTACAAGTTCTAGGGCTGGAGTAACTTTAAAGTCACAATCTCTTTATAAACATGTATGATCCAACCTTACCTCGGTGACATCCATAACCTTGATGGCGGCCAGCTGACCCGTTTTAACATGTCGACCCTGAAGACAGAAAAGAAAGACTGGTCAGTACCAACACTCACAGTGGTTACTCAGATGGAGTGGCTGAGTCTCTAATGCAGCCTCCCCTCATTCTTCTGTTACTAATAAAAGGTAACATGCTTTTAAGTGCTTGCTCACCAGCAATAGAACAACAGAGCTGGTAAAAACAAGACAAGAGAACAAATAAATTCACAAAAGATATCAATTCTTTTTCTCATAGGTTTAATGTACCTATCATTATCTCCAAGGTCCTCAAAAGACGTTGTTAAATTTAAGTGTATACGTGTGAGTTTACGTACACACATGCATTCAGGCCAGATGAGGACATCAGATCCCCTTAGAACTAAAGCTCCAGGGAATTCTGAGCCTCTATACAGGAGCTGGTAATCAAGCCAAGAAGTCATCTTCCCTGATGCCAACCAACTTAAGTAATGTGTTTGTCTATATAACAGGCTCACCAACCTTTGCTTCAATGGCCCAGGGAAAAAAAAAATCAAACAAACAAACACCCTCTAGATATTTACTTTATGCCATAAATGGGTAATTGAATCTTCTTACTGGTTCCCAATAGTTACTACTTGATTTCACAAATTATAATGAATGTCCTCAACAGTCAATGTAGGGAATATGGATGGAGACTATTATCCAGAGAAGAGGAACTATATATAAAAAGATTCAAGGACAAGCATAATAAAGTCATCACAACTAAAGTATTTGATCTAGGACCTAAACTGTATAGCTTATTCATTACTCTGTATGTAAAACAAAAACAAACAAACAAAAAAAAAACCAAAGAACCTGTGTTATCATTCTCCTCTCACACAGAATCAGAGGGTGGGTGTGGTTAGGTGGGTGTGGTTATCTACCTAATCTCTGAAGCAACTAGGAACCACCCTGCTATCTTAAACATGAACTACTTTTAAGGACTCCATTTTAAGAACAGCCCTTCTGCAACAATGCAGAACAGAAAGAATATCCTCACATTTTCCAAAAGCCGCCTCTCTTGTCTCGTGATGGAAAGAGTAAATTTATAACACCAGACCCAAGAACAGCTCTCCGTTTACTCACAGAATGTGCAGAACTCAAATTACAACAAGAACAAAGCAGTCGCTGAAAATGGCATTATCTGACAATTAGTACACCCTAAATAACAGCGAGAACGCTTAGCAAACAGCACTGGAGACAAGCTTTAGACTGCCGTGTGTTGGGCCCCAAGTCAGAGAGGGCACAGTTGTGGTATATATATTCTATGGTATCACGGAGTACAGCCATCCAGATGCATCAATGTGGGACGCCAGAGCAAACATAAACCCAGAATATGAGAGTCTATCCCTCCATCAGTAATGACATCAAGTAGCTCCCATGACTATGTCCAAACAATCACATGACTCTGACAGTAGTCACATGACTATGGCCACTCAATCACAAAGTAAAATTGTGCTTTTCTTGAATCCAAAAAGAAAGAGTGCATTTAAGTCACAGTGTGAGTGTACCCTCTGACTTGGCCATGTGACAGGCCCAATAGTACCCACACAGCCCTCCAGCCTTCCAGCCTTCCTATGATCAAGTGATGGGGGAGAACAGCACAGGCGTTGATTCTTCTTTTGGAGAACACAGCCATGCTATGCTCGGTAGGGACACTTAGATGCCTGATATAGTACGACTTTAGACTACAGATCTACAAAACCCATGAGTCTGTCAAAACACTCTGCAAAGACTTATACTGTGGCATCTTTCTTTATTCCAAATAAGTTAAGTCAGTAACACATCCTCTATCACTGTCATTTCAGACAGTGTGCGGGCCTCACAGGAACCAGAATTACCCTCAGTGGAGAAACCTCATGGCTTTTGATTCATTTCTGCCTTTTTTTAAATTTTAGGAAAATGAATGTTTCCTTTTTTAAGAAAAAACAAAAGCAAAAACAAAAAAACAAAAAACAAAAACAACAGCCGTAGGCTTGGCTGTGACACAGGCTAAGGAGCATGGCCTGCTTTTCAGCTTTCCTTCAGCATTTCTAACCAAGTCAAAATTGCCACCTTGCCCTTGCAAATATGCAATACACAACATGTGTCCCAAGAAAAATCACACTATAGAGCATCAGAGGGCAGGATACCGTGGCAGCCTGTCTGTCCCTGGCCCACAGAAGGGCAGAATGAATGACGTAAGGGAAGCTTCTTGGTCCCAGTGAGAGGAGAGACGGCAAAGGTTCCGCTTTCCTGGAGCATCTTCTAGCATCAAATCCTAGTTAATGGATGCATGTTGAGTAATCTTCACCTGGACCACTTAGGCGCCCTCAAAATATCTGAAGGTTCTCTGTGTCCACTGACAGGGAAAGTCTCACAGCCTTTGCCATAGTAATGGGAATTTGGCCAATAAATAACACATCCAAGAAGTTAGAGAGCTTCTGTGTCTCTGACCCACAGGGACAGTCTCAATCTGCCTTATGCCACGTCCTCCATAAGAGGTTTCTTTGGCTAATGGGTTTTGAGTTTTTTAAGACAAGGCCTCATGAGACCCAGGCTAGCCTCAACGTCCTGATCCTCCTGCCTCAGCCTCTCAAATTGTAGGCTTATGCATGCCCAGCTCTATCACAAAGTATTAGACTCATCTCAGCTTGCCCTTACAAATCCCTGCTGCTATGCACACCTGACAGGGAGGGGGGAAGATACCTTCACCCTGTTTCTGCTCTTGGTGCACACTCGCTCTCTCTCACCCTCCTTTAAAGTCAGTGTCATTCAGCAACATTCAACCTCAAAACAAATGCAAGAGTACACAAGGTTTTATTTACTTTATGAAACTAAGTAAGCAGCTGCTTAACTTGGGAAAAATAAATGTTTTCTACCGGACAGTACAGAGAGGTGCCAGGTCATAAAATCTCAGCTCCACAAACGTGAGCTTAAGGCCTGCACAGCCTTGTAGTCTGGGAGAACAGAGCACAGACACAAGCCTGGCCTGGTTCTGGGGGCACTTGGTGGACAGGTGTGTCCTGGACAAATGCCTACATTCCTCACAGAACATGACACAAGTACCACTGCCCTCATTTTATAAAACAGAGAAAGTTAACCTTAGAGATGACTCCCTTACCAGTGTGCATACTAAACAGACACATCCTATCTAACCAAATTAAATAGAAACTTCAAGCATATTATTCTACACATATTGGTAGCAATGTCTAATACACAATAACCAACAACAAACAAATTGCCAATCCCTGGCCTAGGCCTCTTAGGACAAAGAGCATCTTCCTGAACATAAGGACTATGAGGACAGCCTCAGAGCCCATGAGTCTCTGAACCTTGTAATGGGTTTTTGTCTGCTGCCATAGTTATCTCATTGGCCTTTTTAAAAATAAATATTGGAAATCAAAATGTTTCAGGTAAATCTACAAAATTTAGTCGATAAATGCTTAAGGACATGGTTAACTACAAGGAAATGCTAATCTGGAAATGTCTGCTTGTACATACGTATGCACATGTACATACACACACACACAGTGTGGAGAAATACTGTATCTTATGAGAGAAGCAGTATTTGAACTCTATATTCAAATCACATGACATTAAGATACTACCTGCTCTCCTTTGCCATGAAGGGCAGAAGGGTAGTTTCTAGGAATCAGTGATCACCTGAAGAGAATCAATCAAAGGAGACGACATGGATTCCCTCAGAACTGGAGCAGCACACAGTCTTCTCCAAGTCCCAGAACAGGCATCCAGGTGGCAACAGGCCACAAGTAAAAAGAACATGTTTACAAAGGATGAAAAGCCCTGTCACAAAACCATGCAACCTCTCTACAGACAAGCAGGCAGGAATGGGTTGTCATACACTGCACCCAACCATGAGAGATTCCCATGAGGTTAGAAAGAGATTTCATCATGGTTTAGCTGCTTCTCATTTGCATTCGACTGTAAACTTTGTTTCCGAAACTGATTCCTAGACATCTGAGTGATGTTTGGTGGGGTTCAGCTGATGAATCAACTTGGATAACAAACAAGAAGAACTTAGCTTGAATGCCCAGTACTCACATAAAGCTGTATGGAACTTGTCTGCACGCCTAGTGTTCCTATGGCAAGAGAAGGCAGTGACAGAAGCCAAGGAAGTTCACAGGCCAGTTAGCCTGTGTCTGGCTATCTGCAATCAGCAGAGATCCCGTACCTCAAGGTAAAAGGCAAGGACACAGCAACACCCAAGGTTATCTATCTTCTGACCTCCAGACAAATGCACCCTCATTCACAGAGTGTGAACATGCACCGCACAGAAACAATTTTATTTAAATAAAGTTTATAAGGGGTTTAAAGAGACAGCTCAGTGGTCAAGAGTATATATACTGTTATACTGTTCTTCCAGAGAACCTGAGTTTGATTTATTAGCACAGGTGGCTCACAACCACCTGTAGTTCCAGCTCCAGGGGATCCAACACCACTGCAGGCACCTGCATACAAGTGGTATGCATGCAAATGTACACACACACACACACACACACACACTTTTTTAAAAAAAAGAAAAAAAAGATTACCTGAGGTAGAGATGCTAAGCTTTTCTAGTAAACAAGGCAAGCTCACTAACAAACATAAAAAGATTGCTCCTATTCCCACAGAATGTGCACGCATTTACCCTCGAGCCAACATGAGGACTGGAGAAAGCAAGATGAGACCCACAACTTCCTAAACCAGTGTCTGCTGGCTTCTCGTGCACCCTAGGCTTTCGGGATCACCTCTTCTGAAGAATGCTGAGCGTGGGAGAAAGAGTCTTCTCCAGGGAAGAGCACACCAACTGGTTATTCACTACCAAACAGTCAGTCTTGAAAACATACACACAAGTAACATTATGCAAACTGAGTAGGGCATATTTAGAAATATGTATGTCTATACACATACATATAGGGATGTAACCACAATTAATGAAAGCAGGCTGTGAACTTAGAAGGGAGGGGTATACGGGAGGGTTTGGAAGGAAGAAAGGACAGGGAGGAATACTCGATTTTAATATAATCTCAAAA